TCTAAGTCTTGCCTCCTTGCCTTTGCACTAGCATGAACGACAGTACGAATCAGCTTTTGCTCGGCCTCCACCGATATATCTCGGGCTATTTAATTTGCAGTGGTGGCATCTCTCACATAAGTAGAGACTTTTTCTTCGACCTCAGACTTGGCCTTAGATAGCGCATCAATCTCTTCTCAAGCATTTTGGAGAAGACCCTGGGTCAATGCCAATTCCGAGGTCACTACCTCATTTTGCCTTTTTAAGCTCGAGGATCTCCACATTCTTCTGCCCGATCTACAAAGGAAAAGATAAGTCAGTAAACATCGAATTATGAGAACGACAAACGGATTTACGAATAACAAGATACCTACTTATCAAAGTCAACCTTTTCTGGGAGCACTCCCTCCAAATTCGCCCGAAGCTCGCTTAACTCCTTCGCCTTTCGGGTAGAGGAGTCCTTCAACTCCTGTAGTCCCGAGGTGAGATTCTCGAGCTCCTTTCCACGGCATGAAAGCTCATCTTGGAGCATAGAGAAGGTGTTGAGACTAGAAAAGTATATATGAACAGGTATCACCTGCCGCTGGAACTTCTCCACTACCTCGACAATGTTGGAAGCATCAAGATCGATGTCCTCGCTGACATCGTCAACGTCATCAAGGAAGTTACCAAGCTCATCCCCCTTAAAAGGACCCCCCACGTTGGCAGCATTTGGGTCCTGAGCATCCCTTAAATCCCCGGACAAGAACTGAGGGCCCAAATTAAGGCCATCCAGGGCATCGATGTCGCCAAGGGGCAAATCCTGCCCCTGAAAAGCTCTGGGCCCGGACCCTTCGGAACCAGCAGCAACGGTCTTCTCAGCAGGAACTACACCGCACCCAATCAGGGGCTTAAGGACCGCGTTCGCACCCTCCACGAGGGTCTCCACCACACGGGATTGATCTAAATTGACCGTTCCTGATTCAACGGCCTCTGGTCGGCACGCCTGTGGGGCATCCGCACCTGACCTCATCCTTTGTACCAAACGGTACTCATCCTCATCATCGTCTTCATCCGTAGTACTGGGACTTGCTCCGAAAGCTGAAGCCGAGGTCCTGGCAGCAGCTCGAGGCCTGCGTGATTTTGGTTTCTTTGCCGCATAAGAATCAGTAGCCACCTTTTTCTTCCTCTTCTTGCCCTTATTAGGCTCCGAAGTCTTCACCTCGCTGTCGGGAGGCGGTCTCATCTGCACTCCATCGCCAAGGCCTGCACAAACATAGTGGCCAAAATTTATCAGCACGGAGCATACGGGGGAGAAGCATAAAATTATGATATAGGTGGCAAGAAGGATTTTACCATGATTCTTGGCCACCCACCGCGTTTTAGCCAGGTCGGGCCAATATCACTTGAGATATGGGTACAAAGCATCCAATAATCCATCCCGACAGATCCTGAACCGCTTCAGGATACCAAACGGTAGCTGTAAAAACCAAGAGGAGATCATTTTTCTGAAGAAAAGTAAGAAGACCATAAAGCATGTTCGTAGGAGAGGTACTTACACTGCGTGTTCCACTCTTCCGGGAAGGGCATCCTTTCGGCAAGGATGATGTCCGAGGTCCTCACTCGAACAAACCTGCTCATCTACCCTCGATCCTTGTCCTTATCGATGCTCGAGAAAAATGGCTTCTTGGACCAAGGGTGAAGCTTAATCAAACCTCGATAAAATCGAGGGCTATACAATCTAATCAAATGGTCGAGGGTAAAGGTCGTACCCTCGACCTTGTTGGTAAAGTAGCGGAGCATGTAGATTATCCTCCAGAAAGATGGATAGATCTGGCCAAGCGTTACTCGATACTTGTCATAGAAGTCAAGAATAACCGGATCTATCACCGGGGAAGAAGGGTTCGAAGAACTGATCGGACCCAAAGTGAATGGGTATGTATATATATAAAGGAAGCTAGCCCTGTGGTCCGTTATGCTCTCGTTAGAACAAGGGATCTCAACCAGCACTGCCTCCCTTCATTGACAGTCTTCTTTCACTTTCCCTATATCGGTCACGATGCTAATATACCAGGACACATGTTTGCATCGGCCCGGTGTAGACGAGGGTCTGTCGATGGAAAAATCCTTCGCCATGTTGAATTCGGTAGGGGTGCACTGTTCAACGGTGGGTATCACTTTGGGCTTTCCTTTGGATGTTCGGGATGAAGAGGTAGCCTCGTCTTTCCGAGGAACTGTCTTGGAAGTTCTGGCCATGGTGGTGGAAAGGCTTTTCTGAGAAAGTAGGCAGAGAATCAAGAACGGAAGAAGAATGAATGTGAAAGGGGATGGATTTAGCTTGAAATCTTGAAGATGTTGTAAAAGTGTGAATTTCAAACGACTGATGCATTTATAGAAGCAATGTGGGCAGCGGAAATGACGAACTAATAGCGGTTCGTGGGCTTCTCAATAGTCGTATTTGACGGCGACCCTTGTGCGTCTTTTGAGTTATGGCATTGAATGCTTGATGGGCTGACGTCATGATGATGATGCTTAAGGAGTAGGAGTTCAAAATCATTTCCTAGCACTTTGTTCTAGAAAATGTGGGGACTATCTATATATGGTAGAAATCGACGGTTCGATTATACGATCATCAATGCATCTCGAGAATTTTCAGTGATCGACTCCGAGGGTTCTCGGTGATCGACTTCCAGGTAGTGTAAGTAATGATCGGCCTCAAGGCAATGTAAATTAGTGGTCTCGGTGGATCAAGGTGAAGTTCCCAAGGCGCGTACGTATAGCTGGCCAAGTCTAGTGGGCTAGTCAAAAAGCGAATCAATGCATTAAATGGCTGTACCAGTCCCATATCTTTGTAATTAAAACATTTTGTACTATGTTGGGATTCCCCCTCATATATAAAGGAGATCCTTGTCATTTTGGAAATATCTGTTGCTCAATACTAAATACACAAGAATATTCTCTCTGCTCTCTAACATATTCTCTTGATCTCATTACTTCATTTATTGCTTATATTTATTGTGTTCTATTTATTGTTCATCATTTATTGCCTATCATTGATCATAAAGAGTCATCGCCGTAGCTCTCATAAAGTGTTAGTCCTCCCTCGATTGCCCTAAGCCGGCCTCCAGACTCGACCTCGAGGCCTTGTATACGGCAGCTCGAGGCCCCGACCTCTAGCCGTTCGGTTTGACTATTACCTCGTTTTAAGCTATAATTTTGCCTTCTAATCTTTTACTTAGTATTCATTGCTTAAACAACTAGCATAAAAATAGATCACGTATTTTTAGAACCTCATAATCAAATTTAGTTGTTATTACCATTTTCACGGTAAACACTTTCTCTGTCCGTTCAACATAGTTCTCACCGGAAAGCATTAGAACGCAAGCATTTCATTGAAAATAGCATTAGAAAAAGTTGTGAAAGCTGCAAAACATGATGCACATATATAAGCTATAAAATACAAACCATCAAAGTGAACCGCGTAATTACCAATATCAAGTAAATTCTAGACCTTGTTGTGGGTAGAGGCAAACCATGCACAACATTTCTTTAAATTTTTAAGTAAACAAAAATAAAGCTAGAAAATAATTTGTACCTACTGGCATAAGATACTCTTCAAACTGAAAGTTTTATTTTCTTATTAATTAATCTGATCAAAATAGTTACCTCCTTATGGGGTCGGGTTACTACTTTAATAAGATAATCAGACTTTATAGATGCCATAACAATTTAATCACTTAACCTTATGTGATTAAATAATTTATTTTTCTTTATGTCAACTTGTCAAGCATTCAAGATGTCGTTGTTACTCCCAGGCGCATGACACATAGAAATTCGAATATGACATCTCATAAAAATTAGTCTTAAGTAATCAACTTAAACAAAATGTTAATTATTTTCAAAATGAGAACACAAAGTAATAGCGTATGCCGTATATGATTATGACCCCCACAAAAGATAAGTCTTATAACTTATCCAAAATTGCCTGAACAAACGGACTTATAAGTTCTTTATCCTGCAACTATAAGTTTGAAGAATCACCCTTGAGGTTTTGGTAGGATTTCCTTTCTTATGCTCATTCCTTGAGTAGAATTTATATCACCTATCCCAACTTTATTTGAGATTGAGGCGTAATTATTGTTGTTGTTTGCTCATTCCTGAGCTACTATGGGAAAATGTAGTCCAATTGTTAGTCTAATCCCTGTCTTGCAACATTTTGTTCGAAATATCCAATTGAGAAATCAAGAAATGGAATGGTTCATCTATCAAACTCTTGAATGAATTTGTCAAAATCTCGCTTCTCTTGGTCGTAGACCACCAAATAATAGTCAAAAAGTTCAAAATTTGTACGAGATACTGTGTTAGAGCCCCATTCACATTACTTCATTGCCTTTTATGTTAACCCTCTGGTAAAACACATCCTGACTCCATCCCTATGTTGAAGTCTAAAAAAGTTGCTACGCATCGATTGATGTCGTTTAATTCATCTCAACTTTGAAGGAAAATATACTAAAATATGATGTATATTTTTTAAGGGTAGTTTTTAGAGAGCAATGTTTCCTGTTCTCTTCTCTCAATGTTTTCGTTTCCTTTTTTTTCCTTTTTCGAAGGGAGGGATGGGCCAACTAGAACAAGAAGAGGAAAAGTATTGCACCACTTGGATGCAGAGAAGAGTTGGATTGGACCCACTAGGATTCCAATCCAATCTATTATTTTTTCTTTCTCAAATTCAGTGTGAAATACTCTTGGTGGTTCATAATTAAACGAGTGCTCGTATATTTGAAGTCAAAATTGATTGATTTCATATATTTGAAGTTTGGCATATTGCATCATTGAGCTTAATTGGGAATCCAGGAAAGAAATTAATGACAAATGCTTTAACAAGGATAACCAGCTTGTGAGGTTGAAAATGAAAATATGGAGAGTAGCTCATCTCCATAGGATTGCACTATCAGGTCAAACTGTTAATAAATCAGATTGTTGGAAAGCTAATTTATCAAGCTTGATCTTTTGCTAGCTAGCAACAATGGTAAATTGCCATCACATCACATGGATTAATAAAAGTACACCTTAGACTGCAGAAAAACTCGTGAAGCACCTCAAAAGATGCCCGATTACAGAGGACATCAAAGGGTAAAACAAACTTACACACACTATGGATACGTAGAACTCCGCGAAAGACTATTCTCAGTTAAACAGTTGGAAAGATTAAGACGACCTATGGAGTCGACCTACAGAGGACATCAAAGGGTAAAACAAACTTACACACACTATGGATACGTAGAACTCCGCGAAAGACTATTTTCAGTTAAACAGTTGGAAAGATTAAGACGACCTATGGAGTCGACCTACAGAGGACATCAAAGGGTAAAACAAACTTACACACACTATGGATACGTAGAACTCCGCGAAAGACTATTTTCAGTTAAACAGTTGGAAAGATTAAGACGACCTATGGAGTCTTTCTTTTCGCTTTTCTTCTTGAAATGTTTAGAAGCTGCTTTCAGCACCTTAGCCCATCCCTGCACGAATTAATGTATTGTAAATTAACTAGACATGAGATTTTACAAATCGGAAAAGAGGATACTGCAGGAATCGCACTGCTTCATTGATTGACTATGCAATTTAGTTTATTTTCTCTGGAATAGATTTATTAGAACAAAGGAAAATAATAAAGGGCAGCCAGTGCACTAAGCTCCTGCTAATGCGCAGGATCCGGAGAAGGGCCGGCCGGACTACAAGGGTCTATTGTACGCAGTCTTACCCTACATTTCTGTAAGAGGCTGTTGAATCTGTGACCTACTGTGTCACAAAGAAACTTCTCAACGAGATGCCAATGAATGTAATATAGCATTGCACGCATTATTTCTTTGTAACAATGAGATCACACTTGTTATTAATACACATAATTTCAAAGACATGTATTGTCAAAGAATATGAACATCCATTCTAAAACCTTAAAGCAATAAGGGCAGCGTGATAAATATAAACAGCTTAAACCATTTCTTCTGACTCTATTTTAAATTATAAAAATTGGTCGTATATTTCCTTAAAGTTATATGATTCATACTATCCTTTTCCGTTTAATACCTTTGATTCCATACGTGTAGTTGCAATCAAATCTATTCATTAAGAAGAATCAGTTAACTACATTTCTTATGTATTGGATTTGAGTCAAATTTCGAATCAATCTATGTTGAGTAACTGCTTCCATTGTGTTGTTTGCTATTTTTGCTTTTGGAATCAAAAGACCTTTATGAGCACATGTCCTTTTTATACCCAATTTAAAACACTATATAACTCAACAAATATATACTAATATGTTACCTTTCTTGGCGTTGTAGTAGTGGTGGTAAGCTTAGAAGAAGATGGGACAGGAGAAAAATCAAAGCCCTTCCTCTTTCTCTTCTTCAACTTGTGGTGTATTTTCAGATTATCAAACAAAACATTAGAGAACTTCCTCTTGATACAGCCGATGACTCCGCCGCTGGCGGCTGCTTCTTCCTCGTACGACAACTTTCTGGAAAGACCCAAACTGAGACTACGGTCGTTGGAAGATGACAGAGGAGGAGGGACCAAAGGGGACCAAATGGAGCTCTGAGAATAGTCGAAATCGTAAGCGGAGTTGTCGGGGAATTTGCAGAGAAGATCTCTGGACAATGACGACTCTAAGTATTCAATTACCATCACCATTGGACCGCCCATTACTTTCATATGAGAAAGTAGTTTTCAGTTTTGACCGACCACTATACCCTTTGGCCTTTTGGTTGTAAGATGAAAAAGTAGCCGTTACAATATAGGTTGGCCCCAACCAACACAAAAAGACTCCTTATGATTTCACGTGTTACGACCATTTTGATAGTTCCAATTTTTATTACGACAATGTGTGCTTGTCTTGTTTTTAGTCACTCCTTGGTCTCATTTTATATGACACGATTATGAATCGGAAAGTTAAAGCAAATTTTTTGTTTCTATAGCAACAACATAAACAACAACAGCAGCAACAACATCCCAGTAGAATTTTACTAGTAGAATTTGGGAAGGATAAAATGTATGTAAATCTTACCCCTATCCGAAGAAGTAGAGAGACTGTTTCCAGGAGACCCTCGGCTCACAGACTTTGTTTCTATAAATACTTTTAAATTAAAAAATTATTGTAATTTTTTATACAGTTTTTAAAAATATTGTAAAATTTTTATATCCAAATTCATATCGAAAATTAGTGAATTTAACCTCTCCAAACTATGTCACATCAAGTGGAACCAAAGAAGTATTTTAGGTTCAGAGATTTCAAAGTCAAAATTTAATAGACAGAGTTAAATCCAAAAGTAAAAAGTTCATTTCTCTAAAAATTTTACATCTCGATTACTACATCCTACATCCAAGTATCCAATCATTCCTAAAAGGTTAATCTATACTTACTACAAAAACTCAAATGTCTACATTTCAACTACAAGAAGAGCTTTTTATTATCTCACGAAGTACAATGTCTTGATTCCATTATTAGTCCAAAGGTGCACCTTCCCTATCTTTTTTCTTCTTCTAGCATTCACCGCATTTATAGAGGTAATAAATTAGCGTTTTAATAAATTTTCACCAAAAAGATAAAAAATTCAGTAGAGCATTTCATTTGATTGCCTTTTACCTAGTTGTCTCCGCAATACCAAGAGATTCGCCGGAAAAACATGAACAGAACAACTTCAATTTTTTGGCCACCGAACTTCAAGCCTCCCTTCGTTGGTCGTTTTCTGTGGAAATTCATAAGACAGTTAAAGGGTAGGAGGAAAAAGAGAAGTTAATTACTCGGGTTTATATGCCGGATGAAAGACAAATTAAGTCCTTACCATAAATTAAAGGAATTTTTGAAGACTAAAAATTGATACAATACTAAGCAACAAATTGAGTTCATACAAACTATGACTTGTAGTCAACCATGGTGCCGATTCAGGAATCGGTGGGATATGTTGTTTTCCTGTAAAATGGTACAGTTGATTTTATAGTGCGTTATTTTAAACAAGCAAATCAATTTGACCCAAAAATAATAAAAAAATAATGTCTTGATTGTATGGGTCCAAATTTGGTCAACCACGGCTACTGTCAAACACGACTGTGTGCGGTAAAAACCGGGGAACTGATTCCCTCC